GGGACATCTTCTGGGTAGGACGGTGTATTGGTGTCCTAGGGACATCTTCTGGGTAGGACGGTGTATTGGTGTCCTAGGGACATCTTCTGGGTAGGCCACTGGTAGGATACTACCAGTGTTCTAGAACCATAACTAAGCCCCACAAACTGGGTGGCTCATAAGAACAGAACATTCTGTTTTCTGTCTTTTAACAACTTGTTTGATTTTTGTGGTGGTGGAGACCGTTCCCAGCACAACGTGCACTCACTGGGCCGTCTCTCCGCATGACATCAGCGACGTGAACCACATTCTTTGAGTTGTGTGGTCATCCTTGCTCTCCTTTTCCGAATTGTTGGGGAGGAGGGCTGGAGAGGGAGCCGTCACGGAGCATCCTGCAAAGTGGCCCCATTGACTCGGTGGGAACATGGGGTGAGGGGCAGGCTGGAGGGGGACCCGGGCCAGGTAGGGTGCAGGGCTGGAGGCCTCATGGCAATGGCCTCTACCACCATGTGAGGGGAAAATACAGAGTCCTGGGCCTTCCAGCACCTGGGGGGGACGACAGGAGGATTCCGTCACAGGAGGGTCGCAGAGTCCAGGAGGTGCTGGGCTCTGTTCTGCATCTGTCTGTTGTCTGTCACCGAGTTCCTTATGTGCACGCGGAAGTGGTCAGGCTACCTCTGGTGAGGGGGCCAGGGCTTTGGCCCACAGCGGGTACCCTAAGAAGGTGCCCCTGCCACCTGTTAGGTGAAATAGCATTAGTCTGCCTGGGCCATGTCATCTGACAGTGGTGGGAGGGCCATGCTCCTCGGTGACCTTCAGGCCTCCCCCACTGGCCCCAGCAGGCTCTCGAAACCTGGGCTGCTGGCCATGTCCTCCCATCTGCATGGCTTCTGGGGTCAGGTGTGCTGCCCTCACGGGCCTCAGCAACCCTGCGGCTTCTGGGGTCCCCCATTTGGAGAGCACGCTGTCCTGCCTCAGTGCGGAGACAATGCTGCTCCTGCAGTCTGGTGCTAAGAAACAGGAGGTCTTTGATTAGGACAAAATACAGGATGGGCAGCCGCATGGATCAGGCTGGCCCCGCCAGATTGTCTGCTCAAGTTTAGGGGCCAGAGGTGCACAACAGTACGCCCATGGGGGCGACAGCAGCATGAGCCGACCCGGGGAGCAAGAGGCTGGAAGCAGGACTGGGGCTGACGCACCCCATGTACTCCCCACCCCTGCTCCCAGGTTCTGGCGGCAGATGGGTGGTCACCTGCAGGTGGTGGAGGCCAGCAGCCGTGGCGTGGTGTGGGGCCTCGGCTATGACCACACGGCCTGGGTGTACACTGGAGGCTATGGCGGAGGCTGCTTCCAAGGTGAGGCTGGCATCCTCTCTGCCCAGCGCTCCTGGGCATACCCCTGGCATACCTCCTCTGATCCTGCTTCCCTGCCCGAGCCTGCCCCACTGCCCCCATGTGACACTGGCTGGCCGTGGGCTGGCAGGTGACCTTCACCACCGCCAGCAGAGAACGTGAGGGGGCAGGCAGTCCTTGGGCCACCCGTGAGATTGAGGCTGGAGAGTGTGAGCCCTTCCTGGCACCCCACAGCTGAGGCCTATGAGCTTTCTAGAGAGGCCAGCTGCAGTGTCTTCAAACTGCATTTCAGATGGGGCCTCTGGGTGCGTTGGAGTTGCCTCAGGACCCCAGTCTCCTGATTCCCAGGCCCCAATGCTGGCCTCTCACTAGGCGGGTCATGCTCAAGGGGGCAGTGGTGTGCTGACCTCCTGAGAATCCCCAGTTCTGTGAGGTTCTCCTGGTAGGACCCGGAGCCAGAAACAAGCCCTGACATGGGACAACTCTGTGCCCCAGCCCACAAGCCCCACAGCAGCACATCCTGATAGAGCGGTGGTCCACTAAGACCACAGCCATGTGCGTCTGAGAAGCAGGACTTACTTTGGTTCCCACTTTACACATGAGGAAGTTGGGGCTCACACGTGTGGTCCGAGGACTTCTGTAATAAGGCCTTGACACTCGCCTCGAGACCGTAGCAGGAGTGATACAAGGAGAGGGGGAGACGAGGGAGGCAAGAGGGCGGGGCGTTAAGTCCTAGCCGGGTGAGATGGGCACAGCCGGGCGTTACTTCCTCTCTGCTGCTCTGGGCCCTGCCCCCCCCCCCGTTCTCTGCTGGCCCAACCCCCAGTCCCGGCTGGGGCAGGCACCGCAGCCGCCTCTCCCCCCAGGCCTGGCCAGTAGCACCAGTAACATCTACACGCAGTCGGATGTAAAGTGTGTCTACATCTATGAAAACCAGCGCTGGAACCCCGTCACCGGCTACACCAGCAGGTGGGTGGCCTGGCCCCTGATGGAGGGGTCCCTTGGCTGGGGCCACGGTGGACGGAAACAGGCAGGGGGCCCCTGACATTGACAGAGTGGATCTTACCGCTCACCAGGCGTCCTCATAATTCTTACTCTTGGGATGCATATTTTAAAAACTCACGTGTTGAGAATTGTCACATACATAAGGAGCCCTGGTAGCACGACAGTTGAGCACTCAGCTGTGAACTGAAAGGTCGGTGGTTCAAACCCACCAGGAGAAAGATGTGGCAGTAATCTGTAATGATGAGAGCCTTGGAAAGCCTACGGGGCAGTTCTCTGTCCTCTAGGGGCGCTGTGAGTCGAAATTGACGCAACGCCAGTGGGTTTGGTTTATCACATATGTAAGTAAACACGCAAATGCAGACTTAGCTCAGTGACTTATGAGTCAGACACCAGTTAAGTCACCACTGAGGTCAGGAAATAGCCATCACCTGACTGCCACCCTGTTCACACCCATTCTCCTTCATCACTTTCCCTCCCCTTCAAGAACAGCTACTGTAGTTTTCTTGTTTTATTTTGGTATTTTTTTTGGGGGGGCTGCTTTTTGAAGGTGATGGTGACTTGCCCTGGTGCTAGTTTGGTTTTGAACATCACATGAACGGAGTTGTATTTATTTGTGCCTGACTCCTCTCACTCAGCATCATGTTTGTGAGATGCAGCCTCGTGTGTGCGTGTAGCTATCATCCCTTTGTTTTATTTTCTATTTTGTTGTATAATATATAAAAATATCATGATGTGTTTCTGCATCCTGCTGTTGGTGGACATTTGAGTGGTTGAGGCTCTTTGGAAAGCTGTCTCAAGTGCGTATGTTTCAGTGGGCACGTGCCTAGGAGCAGAATTGCTACGTTTCAGGAAGTGAGTGTGGTCAGCTTCTCTGTGCCGGGCCCTGGATTTCCAGAGTGGGTGTGATTCAGCAGAGTCGCGATGCTTTGATCAGTCTTTTCCATCCCAGCCATTCCAGTGAGCTCATTTCCTAGAGCCGCTGTCACAGATAACTGCAGAGGCTGGCATTAGAGAACAGCTGCTTATATTCTCATAGTCTAGGAAGCTACATGTTCTGAATTCAGGGCACCTGAATGTATTCGGCCTGGGACACCTGTTCTGGCATGCAGGGCGCAGGCTTCTTCCTCAGGGCCCTCCAGAAGGGGTCCCAGCCTGTCACCATGGTGCCCAGCCAGGGCCTGCTTCTGAGTCTCCTGTATCACCCTGTTGTCCTTCCAGGGGTCTGCCCACTGACCGGTACATGTGGAGCGATGCCTCAGGATTGCAGGAGCGTACCAAGGCCGGCACAAAGCCACCTTCGCCACAGTGGACCTGGGTGAGTGCTAGCTCCCGCCGTAACACTGACAGACCTCTTCCGGGTCAGCAACTGGTACCTTGAGTTCAGGGTACAGGGGGGGTCCCCCAGGTCTGACTGGTTCCTTGATTTCAGGGTGTGGGTGGGGGTCCCCCAGGTCTGATGATGCCTCAGTTTCAGAGTGTGGGTGAGGGTCCCAGGTCTGATGGTGGCGTGGCTTTGGGGTGCAGGAGTCCCCCAGAGTGACTCGGCCTCCCCGCAGGTCTCTGACTGGTATGTGGATTTTGGCGTTCCTGGGGGCACCGACCAGGAGGGATGGCAGTATGCCAGTGACTTTCCTGCGTAAGCACCTTTTCCTTCTGCACCGGGTCCCAGGGCTGTGGCCCTGAGTGTGAGCACCCTGGGTGCCTGACCCTGGCAGCCTGTTTCCCCTGCTGGTCTCTGCCCAGCCAGCCCAGAGGGGCCTCTGAGTGCCACCTTGGCCCCCAGCAGGACTAGGAACAGCTGAAGAGGGGGTCGGGGTGAGCTCCCACTGCACACACCTGTTCTCGGGACAGCCCAAGTTAGGACCTGCTGGGTGAGCCCAGGTCCCGGGAGGCCAGATGGAGGGACCCTGTGTCTGGGGCCAAGGGGGCTGAGGTGGGAGAGATGGCCTCAAAGCACTCGAGTGAGTACTGGTGTGAAAGAGGCCACTCCATCCTGGGGGCAGCATGCCACATGGGGGCAGTGCCGGGCCAGCCAGGCAGTGGGGCTGGCGAAAGGCGTCAGCGTGCTGTGAGGCGCCTGCGTGGTACAGTCACGTCAGAAATGGGAGACTGAGCCCCCAGGGCAGGGGCTAGGGCTGCTCCGACCAGACCTCAGGCTGGCGGTCGAAGGCAGGGCCTGGGCGCAGGGCTCTTTTGGGGGTGTCCCCTCCTCACTCCCTCAGTGCTGGGCCCTCATCTGGAGAGAAGGCTGGTATTTCCCAAATGGAACCTGATGGGGTGGGGGGTGGGGGGTGGGCTCCAGGCCAGCGCCCGAGGGAGGCCCCACATCCTGCGGACATAGACGGCAGGGCCTTGGTGCCGACTGCCCAGAGCTGAGGCGGAAAGAGGCTCTCGAGGGGAGGGCGGTGGCCCCTTTGAACATGCAGCCTGGCTCACGCTCAGGGCAGGGGCTGTCCTGTGCCCCCCGGACCAGGCGGTGGAAAAAGCAGCCCCTGAGGTGCAGTCTGGATCTCACCCCTTCACCCTGCAGCTCCTACCGTGGCTACAAGACCATGAAGGACTTTGTCAGGAGACGGTGCTGGGCCAGGTAGGGGGGGCCCAGCCCAGAGGGAATTGGGGCCAAATCCCTGGGGCCCCAGTCAGGTGGAAGAAACGGGGCGGGGTAGGCGGGCCTGCAGTCAAAGTAAATGTCAGGCCAGGAAATGCCTGCGGCTGCCTGCCTCTGCTCTCCGGTGTCTGAGGACAAATACAGAAATGTCACCCGGAGCTCTGCGGGCCAGGAGCCAGCCCCTCCCAGGCCCCCTTGTCCCCGCCCCCCCATACCCTTCCTCCACCCCTCACCCGGCCCCTCCCCTCCCTGAGCCCTGGGAGCCTGGCACCTGGGGCTCCTTTTGCAGTCCTCTGGGAAGTGGTCCCCGCTGTGCTTCCTGCTCCCCAAGTCCCCACGGCGTCCTCTGACCGGTTTAGGAGCTGCCCCAGCCTCACAGTCACTTTAGGTCGCTGGCCTATGCTCTCTTTCGGCTTCCAGAAAATGCAAATTGGTGACCAGTGGGCCCTGGCTGGAGGTGGCCCCTATCGCCCTGGCAGACGTGTCCATCATCCCCGAGAGCCCGGGCACCGAGGGCAGCATCGCCCTGTGGGCCGTCAGCGACAAGGGGGACGTGCTCTGCCGCCTGGGCGTGTCTGAGCTCAACCCCGCGGTGAGCGCTGCCCCTCGGGCTCGTGGGGTGCTGTGGACTCTTCGGAAATCAGGCCCCTGGCTCTGGGGTCAGGGTCCTGGGACAGTGGCTGCCTCGGGCTCAGTGGGTCACCAGGCTTGGGTCTGAGATGGGCGTTCCCAGAGTGGGGGTGACAGAGGCCGGCCCCCCGCACACCGGATGGGCTCGTGTGTCGCCACCGAGCCCCCTTTGTGTCGCCCCCTGCACCCAGTGTCTGTTACCCCCTCACTTGAGAGATGAGAATGCTGAGGATGGGGGTTAAACAACCAGGTCACTTGATCAAGCTCAGGTCACGGTCAGGGCTAGTCAGGCTGCCCATCTGTGTGCGAGGGCCACCCTCGCCCCTGCCCTCCCTCCCCCGCAGATGCCACACCTTCCCCTGCCCCCCACCAGCCAGTGATACTGCCCAGGATCCTGTCACCTGGCCAGAGCCTCAACCCGCTTCCCCTCAGGGCTCCTCCTGGCTGCACGTGGGCACTGACCAGCCTTTCACCTGCGTCTCTGTGGGTGCCTGCCACCAGGTGTGGGCCGTGGCCCGCGATGGCTCTGCCTTCTACCGAGGCTCTGTGTCCCCCTCCAAGCCAGCTGGTGAGTGCCACCCCGATGACCCCAACCTGGTGCTGCCCACTCGGGCTGGGCAGGGGCCTGACCAGGGGAAGGCCCCAGGCCTTCGTCAGAGGGGGGCTACGGGTGATGGTCTCCTGACTTCACTTCAGGTAGTGTTTCCTGAGTGCCACCCCAGGACTCCTCGAGGGGCTGCGCCTCCCCTCTGCTAGGGTGGCCACGGGCGGTCCCCTCTGTGATGGAGCAGCCCCTCCCCCACAGACCCCTCGGGCCCCTCCCTCCCTGGGCATTGCTCTCTGGCTCCCCTGCCCCCACGTTGTCTCCCAGATGTCTGTGTGCCCTCAGTGGAGCATGCCTGCCCCCTACCTCTAGGCCCCCCTCGAGTCTCCACCCTATCTCCCAGCATGGCCTGCAGGAATGCGTCTGGTCACTTGTCCATTGTGTTTCTCCCCCGAGAGGTCAGCTTGTGGGGTGGGAGGCAGGCATGCAGTCTCACTCTTTACTGCATATTCAGCTCAGTTCCGTGCCCGGCACGAGGCAGCCTCAGTGGGGCAGATGGTCAGGGCGCTGTGTGTAACTGTCCCCACACCTGCCCGGTGGGCGCACACTCCTGTGTCGGGCTGGGCGCCTGCATAGCAGCATGCGTGGAGCCTTGCTGCAGACGCTGGAGAGGCCAGGGCGTTGGTGACGTGGGGCCAGTGCAGTTCTGGCGGGCCCTGGCCACGTGCGCAGCAGGGCAGGTCAGAGGCCAGTGCACCTGCCCAACCGTGTGTCTGAGGCCTGCAAGCTGTGGGCCCCAGGTGCAGCCTCAGCCAGGCCTCCCGTTGCAGGTGACTGCTGGTACCACATCCCGTCCCCACCCAAACAGAGGCTGAAGCAGGTGTCTGTTGGGCAGACGTCTGTGTTCGCCTTGGATGAGAACGGTGAGTGACAGTCCCTGGGGTCTCAGGAGAGGCCTGGGGTCCCTGAGCACCTGGGGGGGTGTCGCCCTCCAAGGGAGGGGCCAGGGTGTCCTCCTCTTGGTGGATGGCTGGGCCTCATCTTCTCTGAAGGACGGGGAGGCCAGGGTGACGGCCAGGCCTGGGCCCAGGTGTCACTGTTCCCTCCTGGGTGACCTCCAGCCCCAGTCAGGGTCTGCTTAGAGTTGTGGCTGACCTGTTGCTAGGTCGGCCTCCACCTCCACGCTGGGCCGTTCCCCAGGTTAATGCAGGGCAGTGAGGGTGCCGAAGGGACGTCAGCCCTTCCCAGGTGGTCGGGCCCCACCTGGGCCTGGGCAGAGGAGTAGGTGCCCTCCTGCTACTGGGTGCAGTGACCTCATTGCTCGGGACCTGGTCTAGAATGCCAGGGCCAGGAGCCAGGGACACTTGCCTGGCCCACCGCACTCCCCGCAGCCCAGGCAGGGCCTCCTGCCCGATTCCGTTACCATTTTGCAAGTGCCGTTATGGCCGGGAACAGCTCAGGAAAGGTAGATGCCGGCCTCGAACCGGGGTTTATTCCAGAGCTGGTCTCTTTGTTTGAACCTTCTCTGTCCCCGGGTCCCACACCCCGGGCAGAGGGTGGGGGGCAGCTGTGCCCAGCACAGCGGGAACATGATACGGTTTGGGGGATGTTGAGCCAGGTGGCGGGGGCTCTGGACGCAACAGGGCTGCGCGGCCTGGAGGTCGGGATCATCACTGCTGCCGGCTCCAGTATTCCCTGGCACTGCGGCCTTGTTGGCATGGTGGCCCAGGGGCCCTCCGCTGACCCCGCCTCTCTCCCCAGGGAACCTGTGGTACCGTCAGGGGATCACCCCCAGCTACCCCCAGGGCTCCAGCTGGGAGCACGTGTCCAACAATGTACGCAAAGTGTCCGTGGGGCCCCTGGACCAGGTCTGTGTCCCTGATGGGCCCGTGCTACTCCCAGCCTCCCCTTCTGCCACCCTGGGGGGGGGGCTCACGCTCGGTGACCCCGGGTGCCCACACCATCTCTCAGTCCCTCTTCCCTCCCTGCCCACCCAAGCCGTCTCCCTGCTGCCAGGCTGTGGCTCAGCGGGCCTGTGTTCCAGGTCTGGGTCATCGCCAGCAAAGTCCAGGGGAGCCACAGCCTGAGCCGGGGGACAGTGTGTCACCGCACAGGGGTGCAGCCCCGTGAGCCCACCGGGCAGGGCTGGGACTACGGCATAGGGGTGAGCAAGGCCCGCAGCTTCACGCAGGTGCCTGGCATGAGTCCCAGGCTGTGGGGGTTGCCCCTGGGGCCCGGCATGAAGTGCCAGGCTGTGGGGATCACCCTTGGGGCCCGACATGAGGTGCCAGGTTGTGGGGATCCCTGCTGGGGCCTGGCAGGAGATGCCCAGCTCAGGGCCCCATAGCGTCGCTTTCAAACAGCCCGGTGACATAGTTTCTTCTTCTAGGGCGGCTGGGATCACATCTCCATCCGGGCCAATGCCACTAGGGCCCCCAGGAGTGGGTCCCAGGAGGCTGGCACACCCCTGCAGGAGGCAGTAAGCGGCCCTGTGCGGTGCTGAGGCCACTGGGAGCTGGTTAGTGTGGTGGGGACAGAGAGGTTGGTCACCTGAGCCTGCCAGCCCCATGTCCTGTGCTGAGATGTGGGTTTGGTAGTGTTGCCAGACCAAGGCCAGGCACTAGAACATCCTAGGATGTGAACCTTTGGGGAAGCCCCCACTGGACCCAGTCTGGGAGGAACACCTTGGGTTAGGGGCTGCCCCTGGCCTGGCCCTTCCCATCCTTCTCCTCTGACCCTCATTTTTCCAGGACCTGGACCCAGATCCTCTGGGGACACTTCCCAAGCACAGAGCTTCCACGCCCACCCCGCAGGCCCTGGGAGTGAGTGCCCCTGAGCCAGTAACCCACCTCCCCATACCTCCTAACCCCCAAAGAGAAGGTCTGTGAAGCCCAGGGCCACGGTGGCACCTGCGATCCTTCCTCATGGGGACTTCCAGAGTGGGTGACATTTCAGAAGTTTGGGAAGGCATTGCCAATTGGAAATGCATGCTGGGGGGGGGGTGCTTTTCTCCAGAGGATGTGGGCCGCCACTCCAGGGGTGGAGACCACTGGGGCTGGGAGAGGCAGGCAGCCTGTCGTCAGTATCACCGGTTGGTCCTTAACCCTCGGCAGTCTTGCTCCCAGGTGTGTTTAGGGACCAGCAGGGTTTCATGTCGTGAAGGGCCGGGTCAGGGTGCTGTGGTCAAGGACCCTGCTCTGGGGCTCAGTGAGCGCGTGGGGAGGGCAGGACGTCCGCTGGCCCAGGGGCCCAGGATGTGGTTACCTGCAGCCCCCCGGCCAGCACAGCTGAGCATTCTCCACTTGGCAGCTGGCAGCCCACCTCCCCCGCTGCACTGCTGCCCCCAGACACCCCACTCGGTGAGTCTCAGGTTTGCTTCCTGCCATGGACGCCGAGTTCTGCCTGCTCCGTCGGAATGAACGCTCCATCTGCACCCAGCCTCCCTGTGTGAGGGGGGAGCTGGCTGCATTCAGTTGTTTCACTGTCCCGTGCTTTGTTGCCCGGACTGGATTCAGAAGAGGTGGTGTGGGGTCACCTCTGCAGACACCGAAGGACCTGGTGCATTTGTACACTTTGGGGAGATGAGGCGAGGGGGTGCCTGGTACACAGCTCTCACACGAATCACGTGGAAGGTGGATGGACGGTTTACATTTTGCTGTCAAGTTCCTGCGTGTGGGCATTATGACTTCATCTTCCTAAGAGGACGTGCAGCGACGCCAGCGACAGGTGGCTCTCGGTGAAGCCCCTTCCTGGGGCACCTGCGTCCCCACCCCATCGAGTGCCCAGGGTTACCTGCCAGCCCCATGGGGCTTCCCACTTTCTCAGATAAACGTACAGTAGGTGTTCAGTAAAACACAGCAGATGCAGCAAGGTGGCATGTTTATTGATCTGTTGTGATTAAAATGCCCTGCCCTCCCTCGGGCTGCACCTACGCATGGGGTGAACGTGGCCATCACTGTGAAAGCTTTATCTTCAGCAATTGGGTTCGTGAACACTTTGAAGGGACCATTAGGAAGAATGAAAACAGATTCGGGTCATTTAAGAAACACCACCCCCACCTTTCCTCCTGCAGTCACAGCTGGGCACTGGCCATTCCGTTCCACTTGTTTCCCTGACAACAGGATCACAGCTCTGGTCCCTGAGCCCACATTGCTGGTGGTGGTGCCCAGGTCAGCACCCAGGATAGGGGAGTGCAGGTGGGCACCGGTCAGAGGTGTACGGGTGACTCACAGCTCGGCAGACCCAGGCTGGCCCCCAACCATGCTCACAGGGCCTGCGTGCAGCAGGATGGGTCTGTGCTAGGTTTGGCGGGGGTCCGAGACCAGGGCCTCACCAGTGGGTCCCAGATTGCCTTTCACCCCCCCCCCATTCAATTCCCTGAGGCAGGCCTGGGGTCTTTGGGGATCTTTGCTGACATGGCCAAGGGGGTGTGAGTCCCCTCGGGTCACAGGTAGGGCCCAGCCACCCTCAGGAAGCAGGGGATACAGTTACCAATTTGAGCAGAAAGCAAGAGGCCCCCTGGGCACTGCCCACTGCCCTGCCGGGCATCTCCAGGCCCGTGTGGGCCTCAGCTTACAGGCCTATTGCTTGCCGTCAGCCAGGCTGCTCACTTCCCTGGGGAGCATGGACTGTGTCCCAAACTTGGAGTTAGCCAGCTGCAGTACATCTCGCCGAGCACCCTGACTACTGGCTGTACAAAGTGGTCCCCACCTGAGCGCTGCAGTGAGGCTGGGACCCACCAGGCCTCGGCACTGGCAGGAACGTGGTGCACCACCAGGGCTCACATGGAGGAGGACACCAACCCTCCCGAGGCCAGGCTGGGAGAGGCAGAAACGAAGCCGCTGACGGCTCTCCTGCAGAACCACCGGCCGCCATGGCTGCCTGTACTGTGGCCACAGCTAACGCCAAGCCCCATGGGGGCACTGTGTCCTGAGCCTAGGGAAGTCGGGGCCAGCGTGAGCTCACGCCCAGCCCAGCCTCTGCCTGCAGAGCCTCGGGGACCTGGATTCAGCCCCCGGGGCCAGGCAGGGCTAGGGGCAGAGGCATGAGGAGAGGCGATACCAGTGGGGGTCAGAGAACAGAGACGCCAAGTGTGAGGAACTGGCAGGCAGGCAGGCAGGCACGCCCCAGTAGGAGGAAGCTTGGCCCCGAGGGCTGCTGGGCCTCGCCAAGTGGCCTGTTGTCCCTGCCTGAGGGTGGGGGCAGGGAGATGCCTGCCACCTCTGGCTCCACCCAGAGAAAGCCCCCACTGTAACCAGGATCTAGGACTATCCTAAAATCCCATCATACAACCAAAACACCAGACTCACTGCAATTGATTCAACTCTACTCACAGCGCCCCTACAGGACAAGAGTAGAACTTCACCGTAGGGTTTCCAAGGCTGTCAGTCTTAACCAAAGGGGACTGTCTCATCTTTTTCCCATGGGGTGGCTCATGGGTTCAGACCACTAACCTTTTGATTAGCAGCCGAGTGCTTAACCACTTCACCACCAGGGGACCTTCTCATAAGGCCACCCTCTCAGACCACCCTCTGCCAATCACAGAGACCCTGAGTCGGTGACAAGTAGGACCATGAGTAGTGATAACCTGGGGGAGCGAGAAGGGCAGCTGGGGACACCCAGCCCTGGTCCGGCCCCACCTCCAACGGCCCTGCAGCACCAGGGCCACCGGTGGAGCACTCTGGAACCCTCCCCAGTCAGAGCCCAGCCCAGAGCCCCAAACCTTGATAGGAGCCAAGTTCTCTGTACAGCTAATTGGAGGTCATCTGATCAAGGTTTCCGTCTGGCAGCCACAGCCAGAAGTTCTGCTACACACGGCTGGCTCCGTGCCTCAGTTCACCCCAAATGAGGAGGCCGAATCCAGGCCAGTCTCGTCCTACAACGCAGATCTGAAGACCCCAGGCCTTGGCCTCAGCAGCCCGGAAACATACTCAAGCACTCCTTTGCCTGGAACCTGGTCTCTGCCCTGGAGGAAGAGGAGGGTGAAGAGAATTTGGTTATAAGAGGCCTTTCCACAGCTGCTTGCTGGGGCTACTCCATTCAGAAGCAGGATCTTGCCACTGTTCGTCCCCAGGGAACAGGTACAACTCCGTCCGGGAGGTGGCCGAGTGTTCTGGGCACGTGGCGCCAGCAGGCCGGGGCTCAGGCCGGAGAGGCCGGGCTGGGATCAGCGAGCCGGCCCACAGCCGTCCGCGCGGTGGCCCTAGGTGCCCTCTCGGAAGCTGTGGATCTGCGTGGAGTAGCGCTGCAGGTGGCCCTCGGGCGGGGACTCGCTGGCGCCCTGCTGGTAGTGCTGGTAGAGCTTGGGGCCGGGCCCCTCGAGGCCCGGCAGGCGGCCGCTCGACATGGTCAGGATGGCGGCCGTCAGCGACTTGATGTAGTTCTTGGCCAGCGTCAGCGTCTCGATCTTGGAGAGCTTCTTGTCGGCGCGCACGTGCGGGATGACCTCGCGCAGCGCCTGGAAGGCGTTGTTGAGTTTGTGCATGCGCTGCCGCTCCCGCTCGTTGCTCTCCAGGCGCCGCTGCACGCTGCTCTCGCGCCGGCCGCCCGGCCCGGGCCTCCTGCGCCCCG